ACAGTTCCAGGCTGGACCCCCCTTCGTAGTCCTCGTTAACATCTATGAGCCATTTCACGTGGAAATTAGTGGCTTCAATGTTTCGCGAGGAGTAGGCATGAGTTCAATTTTTAAAATATACAAAATGTAATTATTGAACTTTCTAAATAAAGCAAAGTATTGTAGGATTTAACGAAGAGAATTGTATTTGGAACAAATGTACAAATGATATAATTATATACACGAATTTGAAACTCACCGAGCAATCTTTTTACACAAATTAATAATTAGCAACACAAATTAATATCACGTTTGAATTTTTGTCTCGAAAATGCACAGGATTTCGGGGGTATGTCTATTCACCAAAAATGATTGTAACTAACCCCCGCAGCCGAAAATAATTTTTCCAGAACGATTTGAAACTTTTTAATTTCGCCGAAAAAAGGCAACCGGTCGATTTTTCTATGATTTTTCATAATTTTGATTGGCCCCCTACAGAAAAGTAGTCTAATACTTTTTTGTAGGTACCTACGAGGTCTACTTCTAGATTAAATTTCAATGAGATACAACTACTATAGGAGGAGTTACAGTCGTTTAAAAATTGGGCCATTTTTATGGGGTTTTCTCACGTTACGGGGTTGAGGAACAATTTTTCGAATATTCTCGCAATTTTTACATATTCTTCACCCAAATACGCGTCGATTGCATTTCGAAACATTAAAATCCTTCTATCCGTTCGAAAGTTATGATGTTTTAAAGATAGATTTTTAAGATTTTCGTTAATGAATTTTTTTCTCGAAAGTGGGTAGGATTTCGGGGGTATGTCTATTCACCAAAAATAATTGTAACTGACCCTCGCAACCGAAAATAATTTTTCCAGAGCAATTTGAAATGTTTTTTTGTCGTCCAGGTCGATTTTTCTTATAAATTTGTTTTTCGTTTTTAATAAATTTGTTTGATGCCCTACGGAAAAGTTGTCTAATACTTTGTTGCAGGTACCCATGAGCTCTGCTTCAGAAAAAAATTTCAATGAGATTTAATGACGTTTAATTTATTTTCAAATATATTCAAAATGGATGTCTAATTTTTAATTTTTCGTCCCGTTTCGTCGAGGGAAAAATGCATTTGATTTTTATTTACGCAATTCTGACGTATTACTAATTTTATTCGTGCATCTAATCAGTCTCGTTAACATAAAAAATTAATAAAAGCAGAGTGTTCGATAATTTTAAGACTTGCAATTAGCGAAACGTTAAATTTTTATCAAGTATATCTCCCAACGTTTTCATAGTCGTCGGTACTAATTATCAGGACGGAATGTTTGCTTCTTAAAGTGCGTTAAAATTTCATTATTACGTGTATTTGCGTAGTTAGGTTGGTGTCAGTCGTGAAACATCAAAGGTTAAAATTCCTTGTCGCCATATCGTTAAATAGCGTAAAACGACTTTCTACTTTAAACATTATTATTTCGATTGCTGGAACACCTCATTCTAGTTCTTGTTGGAGATAGCGAAATTCATCTTAACTTTCTAGATCAACGGTGTACCGAGTGCTGTCTATTCATCTCTCGATTATGTTTGACATTGAAACTAAAGAACGCTTATTAGAAATCGTAAGCGTTTCAGTCTCTTACAAACGCTGTAGCTGTAATTAAAATACTATAATTACACTTTTATTAGAAAATACAAAGTTGTTTATCAAAATCTTTAGCAATGGAATTACAATAAATTATTTTTACTATTGGAAAACAAATCGAGAATATCAAACTTAAATCGTACAATTTTCCAAAAATTCTTTATTTTTCTTTCCTATTTCTATTTTTTCATTATTAATGATCGTCTAATTTACTCGATCGACATTTAATTTTAATTACAATAAATTATTTTTACTATTGGAAAACAAATCGAGAATATAAAATTTTAATCATACAATTTTCCAAAAATTCTTTATTTTTCTTTCCTATTTCTATTTTTTCATTATTAATGATCGTCTAATTTACTCGATCGACATTTAATTTTAATTACAATAAATTATTTTTACTATTGGAAAACAAATCAAGAATATCAAATTTAAATCGTACAATTTTCCAAAAATTCATTATTTTTTTTCCTATTTCTATTTTTTTCATTATTAGAGATCGTCTAATTTACTCGATCGACATTTAATTTTTACTACAAATCGACATTTAATTTTAATTACAATAAATTATTTTTACTATTGGAAAACAAATCAAGAATATCAAATTTAAATCGTACAATTTTCCAAAAATTCTTTATTTTTCTTTCCTATTTCTATTTTTTTCATTATTAAAGATCGTCTAATTTACTCGATCGACATTTAATTTTAATTACAATAAATTATTTTTACTATTGGAAAACAAATCAAGAATATCAAATTTAAATCGTACAATTTTCCAAAAATTCTTTATTTTTCTTTCCTATTTCTATTTTTTCATTATTAAAGATCGTCTAATTTACTCGATCGACATTTAATTTTGACAGAAATTCCGATTTGTTATGTTAAATAAATAGTTATGGAAATATCTGTAACTCAAAATTTGAAATTGAGGAACATAACCACAAAATTTAGAAAAATCATCGAAATATTTGGAATAAAAATTAACGTACTCGAGGTCGAATATTTTATGCAGAAAATTATAAGCTTGGGAGACAGTAGAATAAGTCAAAGTTTTTTGTGAATTTAAATGTTATACAGGCGAGGTTATAATTCCAAGAATGATCGGAAAAATAAAAAATAGAAGTACTGTTATCATTTCCTTTTCATTGCCAGTAAAAAATAGTAGTCCTTGTAGCAATCGGATAAGGTAGCTTGACATTGTGTAAAGTGAAAGGAGGAGCAATGTCCGTTCTAAGATCAAACCTTTATGCACTTTCTAAGCATTCGCGTAAAAGACTGCAACTGAAAGTATTTGTAACTTGAGAAACAACTGTTTCCAAAAAAAGAGACTCTTTCGTCCTCAAATTTGTAAAATAAGCACTCAAAGTTTGGCTACTTTAATGTAAAAAAAAATGTTTATACAGGGTGTTCGGCCACCTCTAGCAAAAATTTTAATGAGCGATAGTAGAGGCCAAAATAAGACAAAAATCAAGAATGCTAATTTGTTGGTGGAAGCTTCGTTAAAAAGTTATTAACGTTTAAAGTGCCGCTCTTACTGAATTTTTTTCTCGAAAATGCGCAAGATTTCGGGGGTATGTCTATTCACCAAAAATGACTGTAATTGAACCCTACAACCGAAAATAATTTTTCCACAACGATTTGCAATTTTTTAATTTTCTCGAATAATTTCACACCTTCTCTATTTTTTTTCTCGAAAGTGGGCAGGATTTCGTGGGTATGTCTAATGACAAAAACTGATTGTAATTGACCCCCGCGACCGAAAATAATTTTTCCACAACGATTTGCAATTTTTTTTCTCCGTTGAAAAATTTAGCCACCTAATTGGATTTTCAGTAAGGAATTTTTTTCTCGAAAGTGCGTACGATTTCGGAGGTATGTGTAATGATAAAAAATGATTGTAATTGATCCCCGCAACCGAAAATAATTTTTTTATAACGATTTGAAAAATTTCTTTTCGCCGAAAAATTTCAGCACCTACTCGATTTTTTTTCTCGAAAGTAGATAGGATTTCGGAGGTATGTGTACTCACCAAAAATGATTGTAGTTGACCCCCCGCAACCGAAAATAATTTTTCCAGAACGATTTGAAATTTTTGAATTTAATTGTTAATAACTTTTTAACGAAGCTTCCATCAACAAATTAGTATTCTTGATTTTCGTCTTATTTTGGCCTCTACTATCGCTCATTTAAATTTTTGCTAGAGGTGGCCGAACACCCTGTATACATAGTATTATATTTCGTATTGTTGAGATAAAAAGTTTTGCAATATTTAAAAATGTATTCTTTCTAAATCAGTTTCTAGTTGCACCCCTTAGTTTGTCGAAATTGCTATATGACATTTTTTTTTTTATATGTAAAAGCACTGAGACATTGTGTAATTCCAACAAAAATAAAGTTATTAAATTAAATAGAATATATAAAGATAAATATTGAGAATCAAAAAATTCAAATACTTGTAAAATATAAATCCAAATTAAGGAACAAAGTGAAGACCATTTATGTTTGTTTACACTGTAAACGTTTTGATAAATGAATATTCAGTTAAAATAAGAACTAATTATTAAATATTAGAAAATTAAGAAATTACTGTGGTCAATGTTGATTAATTTCTATGTGAAAATGATATAATATTTTAAAACTTACAGTTGAGTTAATGTTTTATTGATTTAATTAACATCGTATCAAAATACTCACTTTTAGTATTTTCATATTAATATAATAAAAATACAACATGAATATGAACTAAAAATAGTATATTTTAACCAGTGGAAAATGTTCTTTTTTTTTTTTGAGCATTTTAGGTCACATGCACCTTGTTGGTTATTAGTAGACTGCGGATGTTCATGCATTTATGGGGAATTTTAATTCTCAAGAAACTACAGAATGCACTTAATATGCAAAAATATAAGAAATACTTAAAGTAAGATACGAATTATTATATTTAAGGGTTGAGACAATCATCTACAAAGCTCCCATTTTATTAATTCTATTAATAAAAATATGAATTTGCATAAAGATCCGCAGTCTAGTTATTAGTGACCACAATTGGGTTACCTAGTGGAACTTATCATATTTAGAGCAATTGATATACTTTAATGTCTTCTAATAAGTTTAAAACATTTTTGCATGAGTCTATTTCTCGTAGATATCTCGTGAATTTTGTAGCTTATGTTAAAAAGGAAAACTCAATATCATTACGAATCTCTAGCCCCGACAATAGAAACATATCTATCGAAGCTTCTCTCATGAAAACCATTTTGAAAGATAAGGTATCGAGAAAAATGCATTTAAAAAATGTATTCTGTTTCTTATAAAACTGTTCCGCCTGTAATGAACAACAAAAATATTTGTATACGAGTGAAAAAAGACTGTTTAATTGTCAGGTATAACGACACCTCGGCAGTCGGTGAGGAACCACGTGCTACCAACGCCAACGAAAGTGGTGACAATGGTGATGGAGCGGCTGGAACCCGTACCAGAGGCGCACGAGGGTTTGACGAGCTTTTCCGGTCTGTGGTCGGAGCTGATTCTGAACGACATCGCCGCCACGATCCATCCGACGGACCGACCGGAACTGTCCTGCTGCTCGGGAAAAGCGAGACACCCCGAGTGTTACGAGATCCGCGACGAGGAGGGGGGATGCAGGAAGTACTGGCGATCGGTGCCGAGTTTGACGGCGCACAACTGCAACTTCGAGACCAGGGAACAGATGAACGGCGCGTCCGCGTACTTGGACGGCTCCCACATTTACGGGATCACCGACGAGAAGCTGCATCAGCTACGAACGTACAGCCAAGGGAAAGTGGACGTGACTGCATGCGACATCTGCAACAGCACCGACGACAGAGCCCTCGGCACTATTTACGCCGCTTTCTTGAACGAGCACAATCGCATCGCTGGGAAGCTGGCCGAGGCGAACGTGCATTGGGACGAGAACAAACTGTTCCTCGAAGCTCGTCGACTGGTAGTGGCTCAAATCCAACACGTCACCCTCAACGAATACGTGCCCAGTATTCTTGGAGAAAGTGCTCGAACGGATTCCGAATTAATGCCCGTTGCCAGTGGCTTTTATAACGGTTATTCCTCCTCGAACGTCGGTGGCACTTACGATGCTGTCGCGTTGACGGCTCTCCGCGCTCTGACGTCGCTCCGCAGGCGCGGGATCAACGACGCCGCCAGCCTGGAGGACCACGTGATCGCGTCGGCCAATCACGTACGCCTCGACCTCAGCCACTCCGGCTACGAGCCTCAGTTGGACGCGAACGCTCATTTTGTTCACGTGGGCCGCGACCATGGGATACCTGGCTACGTCAAATTCGTCGAGGATTGTTCTGGAAATAATATTACGGTAAATTCTCGTGCTTTTTAACTAGAAATTCCTTTCCATACCTGTTGCACACGCAAGCTAAAATTATTTAAGGCACTTAAAGAAGGTGGATTTGCATTTCTATGCTTATACGTAACATAAACTGTAGACCAGACATTTTCTACTATAATGTAAAGGGACTATTGGTGCAATATGGACGATTTTTAATTTTAATTTACCAAACGTACCCACTGAAAACATTTAATATTCCGAAATATTTTATTAGAATAAAATAATTCGAAATGAAATGTGTTTTCGTTTAATTTCACAGATCCGGAAGTTCAGCGATTTGGAACGTTTCATGCGACCGGTTCACGCGAGACTGTTGGAATCGGTTTACTCTGGGGTGGAAGACGTAGATCTGCTTCTCGGTGGGATTCTGGAAGTCCCAACAAACGGTGCAGCAGTGGGTCCAACGTTCGAATGTCTACTGAAGAGACAATTCATCAAGATTCGAAACTCTGATCGATTCTGGTACGAAAACGATCTACCCCCGTCTGGGCTGACCTCGACGCAGCTAGGTGAAATAAAGAAAGTGTCCCTGGCTGGTATCCTGTGCACCAACACGAAGATCGACAGAATTCAGCCGAAAACGTTCATCCAACAGGATCCGTATCTGAACGCGAGGATCAGCTGCGATCAGCACAGCGTTCTCGATGTGACTCCGTGGAGGGAGGAGCCCCTACCAGAGCCAGTGATAAAAGAAAAAGTCACCAGCAAGACTGTAGTTCCGGAATTGGTGCCTGAGCTGAATCCCAGCCTCCTGGCGGCTGCTGTGAAGAAGGCAGAGGCGGATTTGATCGAAAGAAAACAATTGGAATACAATTCATGGCTGGAGCAGAAGATAGCAGACCCTAAATCGCCCGTAGGCACGGCTGCCAGTTTCTCGAAAGCCAACAGAGACGCTCTGTTACTGGCTAATTCCTCGATCATGTACGAGCTGGCCACCAATGAGATCCTGAACGGTGTGCATGGCCTGAAACGCAGAAAACGACAGGTTTTCGACACCACGGATAACATTTTGGGGTTCCCCAACAATGACTTTTCAGATTTATTGCAAAATGTCGATATATCCGGGTTCCTCTCGCAGAAGAAAGCAACGAATCACGAGGAGGTCGAATGCTCGACTGACGACAGCCCCTGCGATCCCACCACCCCTTACAGGACCCTATCCGGTCACTGCAACAATCTTCGTAATCCCAGTCTTGGTAAATCGTTGACCACGTTCGCCAGGTTGCTTCCGCCTGTGTACGAGGACGGAGTGTCGAAACCAAGGCTCACGGCGATCTCGGGGATACCTCTACCGAACCCCAGAGTGGTGTCCACGGTGATCCATCCGGACATATCTCACCTGAGCAACCGTTATTCGTTGATGCTGATGCAATATGCACAGTTCTTGGATCACGATCTGACTATGACACCGATCCACAAAGGGTTCGCGGAGTCGATACCGAGTTGTCGTCCCTGCGACTCGCCCAGAACGGTTCATCCGGAGTGCAATCCGTTTCCAGTGCCACCTGGCGACCACTACTATCCCACGGTGAACGTGTCCTCTGGCGCACGGATGTGCTTCCCCTCGATGAGATCGCTGCCAGGTCAACAGCACTTGGGTCCACGCGAACAGATCAACCAGAACACTGGCTTTCTCGACGCTTCTGTCATCTACGGGGAGAACACTTGCATTTGCAACGTTCTGCGCGGCTTGAACGGCCGCATGAACGTCACTCAGAGCCCCCACCGTGGATCGAAAGACCTGCTGCCCCAATCGCCCACTCATCCGGAGTGCAAAGCGAAGTCTGGTTACTGCTTCATCGGGGGAGACGGTCGCGCGTCCGAGCAGCCAGCCTTAACCGTGATGCACACCTTCTGGATACGCGAGCACAACAGAATCGTCGAGGGCATGAGGCAGGTGAATCCCCACTGGGACGGGGAGAAACTGTTCCAGCAATCTCGACGTATCGTAGGCGCGTTGCTGCAGCACATCACCTACAACGAATTCCTGCCGAGAATCCTTGGATGGAACGCCGTCACTCTGTACGGTTTGAAGCTACTGCCTCAGGGGTACTACAAGGAGTACTCGCCTACCTGCAATCCGAGCGTGCTCACCGAGTTCGCGACAGCCGCGTATAGAATTGGTCACTCGCTACTCAGGCCCCACCTGCCGAGAATGGATCGCAATTACCAGAACGTCGAGCCACCCATTTTGTTGCGCGACGGATTCTTCGATCCTGACGCGCTCTACCAGCGAGGAATGCTCGACGAAATGATTCGGGGATTGGTCGCCACTCCCATGGAATCGCTGGATCAGTTCATCACCGGAGAGGTGACCAATCATCTTTTCGAGATTCGAGGAATCCCCTACTCCGGGATCGACTTGATAGCGTTGAACGTTCATCGCGCCAGGGACCACGGAATACCCTCATACAACAACTACAGAGCACTTTGCAACCTGAAGAGGGCCACCACCTTCGAGGACTTGTCCAGAGAGATGGCGCCGGAGGTTATCGCGCGTATGAAACGTATTTACAACTCTGTCGACGATATAGACCTGTTTCCCGGCGGACTGTGCGAGAGACCGCTTCAAGGGGGACTCGTGGGACCCACGTTCGCTTGTATAATTGCTATACAGTTCAGACAAGCGAGGAAATGCGATCGTTTCTGGTACGAGACCGACGACCCCAACATTCGGTTCACCGAGCATCAGCTGGCGGAGATTCGTAAAGCTACCTTGTCGAAAATTATGTGCGACAGCATGGACGAGCACAACGAAATGCAGAGAGCAGCGTTCGATCTGCCCAGCAATTTCTTGAACCCCCGCGTCCCTTGCAGCTCTATGCCGCAACTGGATCTCTCCGCTTGGAGGGAGACGAGGCACGGCTGCCAGATCGGTGGTAGAAACGTTGCTTTAGGGGAATCTGGTTTCCCCACACCTTGTACTAGTTGCGTTTGTACAGTCGAAGGTGTAAGTATTTATTTACTGTCCATTATTCTGCAAGTGATGATGCTTAAAATGATCCCCCAGACGTGATTTCTACTAGGAAAAAATTGATTTGAAATGCAACATTCTTAGTAAATAACATTTTTTTTAATATTTTTGCAGAGTTAATAAGCTGCCTTGACTTTTTACTGTCAACTGGAGAACCTCTCAAGTTGAAAGGGATTGAAAAGGTTAGATCTAGGAATTTTCTAGATTTGGGGATTCCCCCTAGGGAAAGGGAAAAGGTTAAATCTAGGAATTTCCTAGAATTTTTCTTGATTTAACCTTTGCCTAGATTGGGGGATTCCCCCCAGGAATTTCCTTGATTTAACCTTTTTCTACGTTGGGGGATTCCTCCAAGGAATTTCATTGATTTAACCTTTTCCTACGTTGGGGGATTCCCTCTAGGAATTTCCTTGATTTAACCTTTTCCTACATTAGGGGATTTCCCCTAGAAATTTCCTTGATTTAACCTTTTTAGATTAGGGAGATTCCCCCTAGGAATATTCTTGATTTAACCTTTTCCTAGATTGGGGGATTCCCCCTAGGAATTTCCTTTATTTAACCTTTTTCTACGTTGGGACATACCCCCTAGAAAGTTCCTTGATTTAACCTTTTTCTACGTTGGAGGATTTCCCCTAGAATTTTCCTTGATTTAACATTTTTCTACGTTGGGGAATTCCCCCTAGGAATTTCCTTTAACCTTTTCCTAGATTGGGAGATTTCCCCTATGAATTTTCTTGATTTAAACTTTTTTTACGTTGGGAGATTTCCCCTAGGAATTTTCTTGATTTAACCTTTTTCTACGTTGGGAAATACCCCCTAGGAAGTTCCTTGATTTAACCTTTTTCTACGTTGGAGGATTCCCCCTAGAAATTCCCTTGATTTAACCTTTTTCTACATTGGGGGATTCCCCCTAGGAATTCCTTTGATTTAACCTTTTCCTAGATTGGGGAATTCCCCCTAGGAATTTCCTTGATTTAACCCTTTCCTAGATTGGGGGATTTCCCCTGGAAATTTCCTTGATTTAACCTTTTTCTACGTTGGGGAATTCCCCCTAGGAATTTCTTTGATTTAACCTTTTCCTAGATTGAGGGATTCCCCCTAGGAATTTCCGTGATTTAACCTTTTCCTAGATTGGGGGGTTTCTTGTAGAGAAAGGGAAAAGGTTAAATCTAGTAATTTCCTAGAATTTTCCTTGATTTAACCTTTTTCTACGTTGGGGAATTTCTCCTAGGAATTCCCCCTTGATTTAACCTCGTACTAGATTATGGGGTTTCCCCTAGGAATGTCCTAGATTTAACCTTCTCCTAGATTGGGGGATTCCCCCTAGAAATTTCCTTGATTTAACCTTTTCCTAGATTGGGGGATTCCCCCTAGGAATGTCCTAGATCTAACCTTTTCTATCCCTTTCAAGTTGGGTGATTCCCTAGTTGACAGCCCAATAAAAAGTCAACGCAGTTTACCAACTCTACAAAAATATTTTTTAAATTAATCACTTGAAAGCGGGAATTACTGTATTTTCTGTTCATTTAACATGTTTGAACATCATTAAATCTAGGAATTTCCTAGAATTTTCCTTGATTTAACCTTTTCATAGATTGGGGAATTCCCTCTAGTAATTTCCTTGATTTACCTTCCCTAGATTGGGGGATTCCCCCTAGGAATGCCGTAGATCTAACCTTTTCTATCCCTTTCAAGTTGGGTGATTCCCTAGTTGACAGCCCAATAAAAAGTCAACGCAGTTTACCAACTCTACAAAAATATTTTTAAATTAATCACTTGAAAGCGGGAATTACTGTATTTTCTGTTCATTTAACATGTTTGAACATCATTAAATCTAGGAATTTCCTAGAATTTTCCTTGATTTAACCTTTTCCTAGATTGGGGAATTCCCTCTAGTAATTTCCTTGATTTACCTTTCCTAGATTGGGGGATTCCCCCTAGGAATGCCCTAGATCTAACCTTTTCTATCCCTTTCAAGTTGGGTGATTCCCTAGTTGACAGCCCAATAAAAAGTCAACGCAGTTTACCAACTCTACAAAAATATTTTTTAAATTAATCACTTGAAAGCGGGAATTACTGTATTTTCTGTTCATTTAACATGTTTGAACATCATTAAATCTAGGAATTTCCTAGAATTTTCCTTGATTTAACCTTTTCATAGATTGGGGAATTCCCTCTAGTAATTTCCTTGATTTACCTTCCCTAGATTGGGGGATTCCCCCTAGGAATGCCGTAGATCTAACCTTTTCTATCCCTTTCAAGTTGGGTGATTCCCTAGTTGACAGCCCAATAAAAAGTCAACGCAGTTTACCAACTCTACAAAAATATTTTTTAAATTAATCACTTGAAAGCGGGAATTACTGTATTTTCTGTTCATTTAACATGTTTGAACATCATTAAATCTAGGAATTTCCTAGAATTTTCCTTGATTTAACCTTTTCCTAGATTGGGGAATTCCCTCTAGTAATTTCCTTGATTTAACCCTTACCTAGATTGGGGGATTCCCCCTAGTAATATCCTAGATTTAACCTTTTCTCTCCCTTTCAACTTGAGAAATTCCCCAGTTGACAACCCAGTAAAAAGTCAACACAGCTTACCAACTCTACAAAAATATTTTCAAAATTCATCACTTGAAAGCGGGAATTATTGTATTTTGTATTCATTTAACATGTTCATTACCACCGTTCTGTTGGAAACCACGCGGTATTTATAGTAATTAATTTTCTATAATGCATAGTGTTAAATACTTACATTTAAAATTTTCTAAATTTCTCGAGAATTCTGAAAAATCTTAAGAATACTGGTACATCGGAATCTTGGAAATTTTTATTTTCTATATATCACTAATTTTGAATTTACTTATATGCGCAATAGAAGAAAATTTGTATTGCAAAAATATAGAAGTTAAAGTGAAAATATAATAAAATAGCAAGAAATAAACGCCTCCGGAAATCCAGGATATTTTCGGGATCCCGTATGTCACTAATGATTTCGTAATTATAAAATAATACAAAAATCACCTCCAACGCGTGATTGTGGAACGTGTTATACAATATTCTAAAGCATTATTTTCATTTCAGACTCAATGCGCATCTTTGAGAATAACGGACTGCAATCAGCTGTTGCGCGAAGCATCTCGAGAGGCGATTCTGCGCGACGATGTATGCACCGCTCAGTGTGGTTTCGTTTTGGCGGCCTCGGAAGCAACTTCAAGGTTTCAGCAATTCACGACGCCAACCAGCTTCCCTGGTTTCGTGCCTCACAGAAACAGTCTACGAAGTGCACCAACGCCAGTTTCCTTCAACGGCTTTAAATTACCTGATCTTTCTCAGTTCATAGGTTGAGCGAGGCAAACGTCAGCAGAGACTTTTTCATACGATTCGTTGCTTATTAACTATCACATGCAAGAGACACACTGTCTTCCTTCGAGAAACTGTACAACGACAGTGACAGTTAACAAGCTGCGCTCATCATTGATAATTGTATCGATGATTCGTAATGACACGTTGCGTGTGCATGCTTTTGCACACTTTCTAATGTCATCCCCCGAAGAGAGGTTAAGAATATTTGTAAATGTAAAACTACACGAGTGTCCGAAAAATAACCTATTGAGATCTGCGTGTATTTTATTTGATCTTAATCGGAAATGATTGAAAGACAGTACAGTTTTTATTGTTTTGAAACGAATACCTCTCAGTTTTTTTTTTTTTTTTTTTTTATTTGTTATGTTTACTAGTATTATTATGTAGATTATAAGAAATATGTAATTTACGAGAGAAGGCGTACCCTTGAAACCGTAAAGTGGTCAGTAAACGATGCGTATATATACGTAGCTGTCATTGCCAGTTTGAAGGAAAAATTGTACAGTGATCTCGTAGTACATAATCGCGACACGAAGACAAAGAGGACTCCAATAAATTGTCACGATACTTGTTGATGTTGTGACGCTGTTAGAAAAAGGGATAAAATGTGAATATGGTACTGGGCGAATGAGTGATACGTGTTTTAAGGAACTGCACTGGCACTCCACCAGGCAAATCGTTTTTATATTTGTACAGTACATAATTATTACGCGAAATAACAAATGCGAACACAAAATTTCATTCTGAATTGTCTTTCTGTCATTACACCTCTACCTAATTTTGTAGTATAATAATAGTATGTATAACGTTAATAAATGTTAATGTTTCTTTTTTTTCTTCTTTATAATAAATAGTAAACGGCGTTCCACACTTCCATGACCTATCAGACTATTGTGAAGTTTGGTCCGCATTTTGATCGTGCTCTGTGTACCACGTTTCATAGGCCAATTTGGATTGGAACTTGTTTTACAGAGATTCCAATATTTACAAAACATTTCGGCAGACACCAATTAGTGAAATGAAATTTCAACTTCAGTCACTATAAAGATTCGTTCTTCACTGTTTGCTTTCATTTCTACCTATAAAGTGTCTCTTTTCTGATATCAAAATTCTTTACACTATCCACGAGTTGTTAGATTCTTAACTGGCAGGAACTTCTTGTTTGTTATTAATCACTGCAGTATTTTCCTGTATCATAGATGACTGCTCTATACATCGCCAAAGACCATAAGTTTTGCCAACAGTTGTTTGCCACAATCTCAAAGTACCATCTTCCGAGCCACTCGCGTACAATTCGCCGTCAGGTGAGAAACGTACACAATGTATTGGTCCAAAATGACCTTTGAACGATTCTAAAAATAGTTTTAAACCTTGGTAGATGGAGTAAAATTCACAAAAATATAATGGGAATATTAATTTTAAAAAAGTACTCACCAATTTCTGTACCTGTACTATAGTCAAACTTATACATTTTTAGATCTTCTCCTCCACACACGAAAATACTACAGTCTGGATGCAAACTGGCACTATTCATTTGCGTTGGCACAATGTATTCACGTAATTTCGTTAATCTGCGCAAACGATAATTTACTTTATGCATACATTATACTACAAACATTTAAAAACTTATTAAAATGCAAGGAGTTTCGTCAGGAAGAGCTTCTCAGTCAGCCAAGGTTAACTTAAAGGCTACATAACAGATTTACAAATACATGACCAGGATTTTAATCTGTGTATCCTAATAGTTGCATACAAATACAAAATACATTGTGTGTATTCGATTACCTTGAACTCTTTACATTATCTTTGATTTTTACATTTCAGAATATACGTTATTGATGTTAAATTCATAAACAGAAAATTAACTTACTCTTTACTATTCCAGAATGTTACTATATTGGAATGAGTAGTTGTAATAACAGTTCCATCTTTAGACACCTCCATAGAATTTGGAATTGCCGGAAAGTCTAGCCTCTTTATTTCTTGACCGCTATTTCTATCCCAGACTCTCAATGTTTTGTCATCGGCACAAGTAATTAGTTGAGTGTCATTATTGAAAAAGGTTGCGTGCCTTATACCGTGCTTGTGACCTGAGAAAACCTGTTGATGTCACTCGTTAGATAAAATGTTACTGTTTTATTAAATACAGACATGAACATGTACCTGTGGTGCTGCATTTGGTTTGTTAAGATCATAAATTCGCACAAGTTTTTCGTTAGATCCAGTACACAAATAATTGGAATTGGCACTGAAATTAACAGACTTGACTATATGCTTGTGTTGAAAAGAGTAAATTTCTTCTCCTTTAATTGCATCCCAGACTTTAACATTAAAGTCAGCAGCACCTGTAGCGGCTCTTGTAGCCTCAGGGTTTAGTGCGACACCCCACACTGCACCTTTGTGTCCTTCAAATGTTCCAATCCAATCTCCAGTATCTCCTTGTCGTAACATAGGTTTGCCATCTAAAGACACATTTTACATTTGTCTCTAATTTATAAATTTCACTCAGCTTTGTCAAATAGTTAGCTGATCAGAAATTTAGATGAAATTTTAAATTTATATCATTTGCATTTCCACAAAAAAGTATAATAGATGAATTTATATTTTAATTCATTATCGTGTGTTCTATTTTGCAATCTTTGCCATAGATAATTATTACTACTTTTTACATGAACCTCGGTTCATAAATATGTAAATAATATGCGCAACTATTAAAATCACATTATAAAGCTGTGTTAGTAAACAAAACTTTATTTACAATGGAACATTTGAGTGGATTATAACTACCCATATTCACAGTTAAAAAAATAATCTTTGTTGGAAAAGTAGCAACAGTATAAATGTTTTTATATCAAATAAATAATGCAGAATTCCGTGCATTCCGGGCGTACAGTTCATTTCTTTGTTTAAAGCATTTACAATAAAATAAATTCGTGACGTTTGTCATCAAACGAAGATGGCTAACTAATTAAATGTATTCTAAATATAATTAAACACTAGTTCCGTACTGAAATACAAAAGTATATACTATGGTAACAAAATAATTAAACATAATGTCGCGAATATACCGCATCTAACCTCGAAACCCATAACTCGTAAAACCTTGGTGTCTGAAGGAACTGGGCCAAGGAGATCAAGAATTCAAAATGTCGATCATGAAATAAGAAAAATTAACCGACAAGAGGTAGCTGTAAGCTCCCTCGAAGCGCAGGAGAATCGAAAAGAAATTACCTTTGCATGCCGAAATTAAATAATATCCTGTTTCTGTTGTATCAGAGAATGCAAGGTGCACCACTGGTCTAGTGTGTCCACTACACGTCAGCGGAATCTGTCTGAAATTGGCCATAATGTCCGATTATAGTCTTGAACGATGGAATTTTCTCCTTTTTTTCGATGCGCCTACACTCGGTAGGACGCGACGAAAAAGTGTACTCCCGAATTTTCTTTACCACCCCTCGTGAGTGGAGATTACGTTCTCAACTAATCGTACGTCCTCCGACGACGAACCGACACCATCTACGTACGACGCGACACTGAACATCGTGAATGTAGCAAGCGCACTAGACTGTAGGCCAAGTTCAGACAGGAAGAACATTATGGCGGCCTCGAGAAGTTTTCACTTGCTTCGACCAGTTTCGAGGACAGAACGTGAGAATGTTGTTTATTCCTGTTTTTCCTTTAACAGATATTCAGAAAATTGTTCTTCGGTGACGGTTTAACGAACACAGCAGTGAGTTTATTGAAACGTGAACTTTTATAAGTAGCGCCATCTGCTATGTTATCTTCGCTCGAACAATAATAAATATACATTGATAGAATCGTAACAATGTTAGTTACTTTAATAATGTAGTTTAGAATGATATGGAATTTCGAGTAAGAATTTGAACCAGTAAGTAAAATCCATGCTATTGAATCGAACTGAGAATTTGATTACTCGACTGATTCTCGATTATTCGATCAAGTAACATTTGCTGTTTGCTGTATAAATAATAAATACAGCGTATCTGTTGAAGTACTGTACAGATTGAACTTGTTCTACGTCCTTGACTCTCTCTTTTCTCATCTCTCTCAAATTCGTGGTTTGTATTATTAGTGTCTGCATCTTGCCTTCGTTCGTCGCACGATTTCGCTCCGCGGCCATGAGTTTTAACCGATCTCTTTCCCTTCAAATAACCTTAAAGCCTGTTCTGGGAAATGTAAACTTGTGCATCGTGCAAAGACTTACAAGCAGCAGGATACGCGAAACAATGTGATAAAAGTAGGTCAAATTAGAGAACAAAGAAACGAACACGAATTACCTGCAACTAATTTCTGTGGGTATTTTTAAATGTTTTCAATTTAATTGATTCATCGAAAAATTATTAAATAAAAGCTGTTGTGTTTGTAAATGTACTAAAATAATTTATAATACCCATTAAACACTCTAAATATATAAAACATAATAAAATATTCTTTTCGAATTAAAAAAATAACATATTTTCGGGATATGCCGCCATTTTGTTGTATAGCGTGTGTCTGAAACTGTTGTAGAGATAGAACAAAAATATTATAAGGCAAAATTAATTGCAGTAGTTATCAACAAAAATAAATAAAAATATAATTTAACATATTACACGGAAACATATTTTTATGCATAGTAAAATACGTTTTCGAAAGATGCAGGGAGTTTAGGAAGAAAAAAAGAGTATTGCCGAAACCCGGGATTGAACCGGGGACATTTAGATCTTCAGTCTAACGCTCTCCCAGCTGAGCTATTTCGGCTTTCAGGATGAAATTGCAACGGGGTGAGTTTACACGAGGTATATTTCTGAAAGATTTTATATAGAATAATTGGAAAATGCAGTATCTTTAAAACGGTTGTAAAGACAAAGAAACTATCAGAAAGTAAAATTAAAAAGTATCGAATAATGCACAAACTAAATGTAATATTGTAAATGTAACTACATTCTTTTCTTTTGAATAGTACACCATAATTTTAATTACACAGTCCCATGAGATTTTTTAGTCTCTCCAAAAGAATATTAAAATACTTGTGCTCTGAACTTGAAATTTTTAAATTTCGCCGACATTCAATTCTAATTTATTTTCGTTGATAACTACTGCATTTAATTTTGCTTTATAACATTTTCCATTTATCTGAACAATTTCAGATAAAACTTCCCCCAACCAGTTAAAATACTCCTTATAAGAAATCAATAACCCTCAGCCGAAATAGCTCAGCTGAGAAAGCGTTAGCCTGTAGATCTAACTGTCCCCGGTTCAATCCCGGGTTTCGGAAACCCTTTTTTTTCCTTTAATTTTTTAAATTTTCTATATCGTTCGAAAACGTAATTTCATTTGACGTGAAAATATATGTCTATGTAACATATTTAATTATATTTTTATTTATTTACCTTGATAATTGCATTTATATTTGCCTTATAACATTTTCGATTTATCTCAGCAACAGCTCTAAATTATAATTTTTTCTAACTGTCTGGAATACTGTTTATAAAGAACCCACCACCATCAGCCGAAATAGCTCAGCTGGGAGAGCGTTAGACTGAAGATCTAAATGTCCCCGGTTCGATCCCGGGTTTCGGCAATCCTTTTTTTTCCTTTAATTTCTTAAATTTTCTATATCGGTCGTAAACTTGATTTCATTTGACGTGAAAATATATGTCTATGTAACATATTTAATTATATTCTTATTTATTTTCCTTGATAACTGCATTTACATTTGCCTTATAATATATTTATTGTATCCTTACAAGTTTCATATAGTAAATTTTTCTAACTTCTTTGAATACTGTTTATAAATAAACCATCACCACCAGCCGAAATAGTTCAGCCCGGGTTTCGACAACCTTTTTTTCCTTTAATTTTTTAAATTTTCTATATCGTTCGAAAACGTAATTTCATTTGACGTGAAAATATATGTCTATGTAACATATTTAATTATATTTTTATTTATTTACCTTGATAATTGCATTTATATTTGCCTTATAACATTTTCGATTTATCTCAGCAACAGCTCTAAATTATAATGTTTTCTAACTGTCTGGAATACTGTTTATAAAGAACCCACCACCATCAGCCGAAATAGCTCAGCTGGGAGAGCGTTAGACTGAAGATCTAAATGTCCCCGGTTCGATCCCGGGTTTCGGCAATCCTTTTTTTTCTTTTAATTAATTAAATTTTCTATATCGGTCGTAAACTTGATTTCATTTGACGTGGAAATATATGTCTATGTAACATGTTTAATTATATTTTTATTTATTTTCCTTGATAACTGCATTTACATTTGCCTTATAATATATTTATTGTATCCTTACAAGTTTCATACAGTAAATTTTTCTAACTTGTTTAAATACTGTTTATGAATAAACTAACACCAGCATCTGAAATAGCTAAGCTGGGAGAGCGTTAGACTGAAGATCTAAATGTCCCCGGTTCGATCCCGGGTTTCGGCAACCCTTTTTTTTCCTTTAATTTCTTAAATTTTCTATATCGGTCGTAAACTTGATTTCATTTGACGTGGAAATATATGTCTATGTAACATGTTTAATTATATTTTTATTTATTTTCCTTGATAACTGCATTTACATTTGCCTTATAATATATTTATTGTATCCTTACAAGTTTCATATAGTAAATTTTTCTAACTTCTTTGAATACTGTTTATAAATAAACCATCACCACCAGCCGAAATAGTTCAGCCCGAGTTTCGGCAACCTTTTTTTCCTTTAATTTTTTAAATTTTCTATATCGTTCGAAAACGTAATTTCATTACACGTAAAAATATGTTTCTATGTAATATATTAAATTATATTTTTATTTATTTTTGTTGATAGCTACTGCATTTAATTTTGCCTTATAACATTTTCGATTTATCTCAGCAACAGCTTTAAATTATAATTTTTTCTAACTACTTTGAATACTGTTTATAAATAAACTAACATCAACAGCCGAAATAGCTCAGCTGGGAGAGCGTTAGACTGAAGATCTAAATGTCCCCGGTTCGATCCCGGGTTTCGGCAATCCTTTTTTTTACTTTTAATTTCTTATATTTTCTATATCGGTCGAAAACGTAATTTCATTAGACGTAAAAATATATGTTTATGTAACTCATTAAATTACATTTTAATTTATTTTTGATAATTGCTGCATACATTATGAAAAATTAAATTTTTTCATCTGTTTAAACTAATTTTAATCGTATTTATAATTTCATCAGTTATAAATTTTATTCTATACTAAAATCTTCATTCAAATATTTATAAATTAGGTATCGTTATTAATTATTTGAGATTAAAATCTAATTTATGATTCATGGTCTCTTTAAATTTTTCTCGGGATAATCTAATCATTTACTCATTACGTGGAGACATGATATAATTCCACAAACATAAGCGGTCTTAATGATTTACTATGCATAACATAATAATATTTATATACACTTTTTAGTGACAATTATTTTTTTTGGAGTGATATAAAATAATGCGACAGAAAGTTGCATGCCCACGAAAAATTTAATTTTAAAATGAAAAGGGGTAGTAGTGTATAGGCCGCGCTTTTAGAACTACGAACTTTTAATTAAAACCATTGAGGAATATGCACCTCTTGGAAAATAAATGAAATCCACGATGTGTTATACCTAATATGAGAGAACTGAAAGGTAACCTTGCAACATATTTCATGTTTACTTGGATGTAAGAAATGAACACAAAATATTTCATTCGATGATTACCTAAATTTCAGAATGAATTTTTCTTTTATAATGATTAATTAAACGTAATGAAACGAGAAAAAAAATCGTAATCGAAAATCTAATTAGGTGCTTTTTTTCGACGGAAAGAAAAAATTTCAAATCGTTCTGGAAAAATTATTTTCGATTGCGGGGGTCAGTTACAATCATTTCTGGTGAATAGACATACCCCCGAAATCCTGCGCATTTTCGAGAAAAAAATTCAGTAATTGCGGAACTTTAAACGTTAATAACTTTTTAACGAAGCCTCCATCAACAAATTGGTATTCTTGATTTTCGACCTATTTTGGCCTCTAGAATCTCCCATTAAAATTTTTCCCAGAACACTCTGTATATAAAATGGAATTGTTAATAACCGATAAATAAATGCCCCGGTTAAAAAAATCGAAAGTTACTTTTTTCCCCCTAAACGCTACGCATTGGACATTTGACACACGCGTTGCCTGTTGCGCTATAATGGCCCTGTATTCGACGTTTGAACAGGCAACGTAAGTACATGTGATCGCGCGTGTATGCACAACAGTCAACGCAGGGATGTGTGCGCGTTCACAGTAAAATCGTTTGTCACGGGAGTGGAAATGGTAGGGAAGGAAGGGTATTCTGGTTGTTAGAATTTTGGACCACGAGACACCGGCGGTGTCTGTTCCCGAGATATCCGTGTATCTTGTGTAGGAAACAGGGAAAAGCACTTTTTAAATCCGAGAAAAAAATCGCGAAACGTCGGCTGCGGTTAGCGATGGCCATTCGCGCGCGCCGATTGGCCGGGAGTCGCACGTGCGCAGAAACCCCCACTCGTGGGACGATGCAAGGGTGTTCGTCGCACCGTATCCAGTCGGTTCGAGGCTCTTCCGAAAGGAAGGATGTTGTCCGAGTTGTCGCCGGCGACGAAACGTCAAGCGGTGTTCGGTTGAAAATTGAAATAAATCTTGCTCTCTGCTGCACCGCGAGACCGTTAATTGTTATGAGACGCGAATAAGGAGTGCGCGTTACCGTTCTCGAGCGAATAGAACTCGCGATCGAGCGTGTTAACCAGTAACTGTTCGCGAATGTTTACATGGTAAACATCAGTGTGTAGAAAACAGAGGACCCTTTACAGAGAGTCGCCGATTGTGCAACGTTCACACGTGAGTTTCCATACGATCGCAAATCGATACGGTTGTTCGTCTGTCACCGGCCGTGCTGTCCGCTTGCTGTTCGAACTCGGTGAAAAAAATGAGAACTACATCGTTGCTCGCTCTCGTTGTCTGTCTGCTGTACTATGTCACTGGTTCCCGTGCTGGTGAGTCTTTGACAAATATTTTTCTTCGATTTGTCACTTTGAATCTCCGTCATGCCTATCGTCCACTGACAAACTACGCGATATTTGATTCACAAATCGGTTATGTTGACATACAATAACTGTACAAAATTACAACCCTGACTGGAAATAGCATTCTAACGAGACCGAGACAGCAAAACTGTTCATTGACTATGAGTATATGTTTAATATTTAATCGATCGCGATTGATCGTCTCTGGTACCTGTAATTTAATATCAGAATCGTTAGAAATTATTTTTGCTCAAGAAAACATGTTTAGACGTAACATTAATATGGGACTTTTCATCAAACGATTATGTTTCACTTGCGTATATGTACTTGAATAACAACATTCACAGAAGAAATACAGTGAAATGCACTTAACATAGCTTTTTCACGTTTACAGAGCATTAAGTCGTCGCCTCTGCTTTTATCCATTTTAGTAGTCAATTCAATTTACTCGCGCGCGTAACTACACGATGCTTTTAATTCCGCCTCTCTGCTTTCTTTTCAAACAAGTCGACCGAAGATTTTTCCTAAATCGTTTGGGGCTGCAAATGGAATGCTTCTTGATCACAATTTATTAAACGCAATCACGTAAGAACAATTATCATTCTATTGGCCGAAATGAAATTAATACTTGTGATTCGAGAAGATATACAGGGTGTTCGGCTATCCCTGGGAAAAATTTTAATGGGAGATTCTAGGGTCCAAAATAGGTCGAAAATCAAGAATACCAATTTGTTGATGGAGGCTTCGTTAAAAAGTTATTAACGTTTAAAGTTCCGCAATTACTGAATTTTTTTTTCGAAAATGCGCAGGATTTCGGGGGTATGTCTATTCACCAAAAATGATTGTAATTGACCCCCGCAACCGAGAATAATTTTTCCAAAACGATTTGAAATTTTTTTTCCATCGAAAAATTTCATACCTTCTCGAATTTTTTTCTCGAATGTGGGTAGGATTTCGGGGGTATGTCTATTCACCAAAAATGATTGTAATTGACCCCCACAACCGAGAATAATTTTTCCAAAACGATTTGAAATTTTTTTCCATCGAAAAATTTCGCACCTTCTCGAATTTTTTTCTGGAAAATGGGTAAGATTTCGGGGGTATGTCTATTCACCAAAAATGATTGTAATTGACCCCCGCAACCGAGAATAATTTTTCCAAAACGATTTGAAATTTTTTTTCCATCGAAAAATTTCATACCTTGTCGAATTTTTTTCTCGAAAGTGGGTAGGATTTCGGGGGTATGTGTAATGACCAAAAATGATTGTAATTGACCCCCGCAGCCGAGAATAATTTTTCCAAAACGATTTGAAATTTTTTTCCATCGAAAAATTTCACACCTTCTCGAATTTTTTTCTGGAAAATGGGTAAGATTTCGGGGGTACGTCTATTCACCAAAAATGATTGTAATCGACCCCCGCAACCGAGAATAATTTTTCCAAAACGATTTGAAATTTTTTTTCCATCGAAAAATTTCATACCTTGTCGAATTTTTTTCTCGAAAGTGGGTAGGATTTCGGGGGTATGTGTAATGACCAAAAATGATTGTAATTGACCCCCGCAGCCGAGAATAATTTTTCCAAAACGATTTGAAATTTTTTTCCATCGAAAAATTTCACACCTTCTCGAATTTTTTTCTGGAAAATGGGTAAGATTTCGGGGGTACGTCTATTCACCAAAAATGATTGTAATCGACCCTCGGAACTGGAAATAATTTTTTTAGAACGATTTGAAAGTTTTGAATTTAATTGTTAATAACTTGTTAACGAAGCCTCCATCAACAAATTGGTATTCTTGATTTTCGTCTTATTTCGACCTCTAGAATCTCCCATTAAAATTTTTCCCAGGGGTGGACGAACACCCTTTCGGAAAATTCTCGATCTTTGTTTAGTTTTTTTTTCTTTTTTTATTAACAACGTCGGTTTGCACGAGTGCACGGCAGTTTTGACGAGGAAAAGGTCGCGGTCTGCCGTGAATTGAAATTCGTTCTCGCGTTCGAGAGACGGCCGCGAAGTTTTACGGGACTGCATTACACCGGTTGAATGGTGCACAGCACGCGAACTTTATGGGGCTTGGAATCGCACGCTATACACTGGCGAAGTTGTAACAGCTAACGAGTAGGGTGGCACCCGGCAACCCCCCTCCTTCCATCTTCCGGAGCTTCCTCCCTTCGAGACTTTAAGAACCGTCGTCTCCCCGTATACTTTCCGGACGCACTGGCTACACTTGTCCTCGGAAATGTTTGTTTCTATCCTCTCGACCAGAGCAGGAAAAAGAACCGAGTAATTCCGAGGGAAATTTTTGGAGCTGAAGTAATGCCAGCACAATTCCAGGAATAACCTCTTTTTTACCCTCTTTTCGTTCTGCTTTTTATCGTAGACAGACCTCCTCCTAGATTTTCGAGTACCAAGTTTGTCGTTGTTCAATTTTCGAAAATGTAAAAAACTTGTGCACCGGAAGTACCTGTGGAGATGCTTGAGAACGACATCGAAGTGTATTTTCTCTTCGATGGCCGTTTCAGGGGGCAGACATTTATTGAAAAAGCTGACGTTGTTACAGAATTGACGGGTATTAGCTTAAAACGCACAACATTTTTCAGTTTTAATAGACAAACTTTTTGTTGGGGTGGTAAATAATGCCACTTGCACACATAACTCAATATATATTTGGTTATCACACGTAAATACAAATATATACAGTGGCGGCCAGCTACTTAAGACCGATTCGTGTTTTTCATTTTTTGCTTATTTTCACATTATGTACATAGTTGCATCAGATCCTTAGTTACCATCACTGCATTCAAGATCGCAAACAATTGCTAATCAGTCAACAATCATGAGTCGAGAGAAGAACATCACTCCTGAACTAAGAGTTTGTTCAAGAATTAATTCATTCTCTGGCCACCAGGACGCTCATTAGCAGCATCTCTCGGGCACGCTTTGTGCTCGAGAAGGATAGCTGGCCCCGCTCACTGCGCGATGCGCCCAAAACATATTTTGGGCATTTGCACATAATTGATGTGCGCGCGCACCGATCCATTTGCCTGCCGGTCGAAACCTCGTGGTGAGCGCGGTCATTGTTACAGTCTTGTTCTAACCGCGATCGTGACAGGTTATACAAGTTCTTCGGTTCCTAACTAATAATTTTTAATCGATATCGATACTCCCTGTCTTCGATAGTCGATGACAGATTTGTAAGTAAAACTTACAAGAGTTGACCTTCTCGATAATTGTGGTACACGGTCGTCGCTCTTTTCATCTTTCCTCGTCCTCACTTTCGCTCGATGTGTCATCGAGTTACTCTTATCGGATCGTGGAAAGTGATTAGCGTAAATTTGAATGCCTTTCTTTCGAGCAAAACGAGGAATATTTCTTGGTTATCTGTGAAAAGCGTCTCCGAGTGTCCCAGTGGACGGTGGCGATGGCTCGAGTGCGCAGAACGAAACGATATTTAAAGGAAACGCGAGATATTTCCTTTATTTAGTTCGGTCTAATCGCGAGTGTAAATCTTAATTTCACGCGATATATTATCGCTCGCCGGTGTAACGCGAATACGTTGTTGTGGCGCATTGCGTTACGAGATACTCGCTAGGAGAATCTACCAAAGCCTTGATTAAATTTCTTCATTATCTTGATTCTCAGACTATGCGGACAGCCAGTGGTTTCACAATTAAGATTCATGGTCCGTTGCCTTACTGCAAACGATACACTCGAGTAATTAGTCTTGGCTAAACGTTCGTTACAATTGTTGTTTTGCTCGGAATTTTATTTTCGTTTACGAGTCAGGATGATAATTAGCTGTTACTTGAACACATCGAAAAAAACTAACGTGTTGCAAAATTTATACAACAAAAATTTGTATCGTTAAAATCGAAGAATAAAGCTCTTTTTACTGTATTATATGACATAATTACATTATTCATAATATTACAATATTTTATAATATAATATACATATGTTTTGGTACATTCTTCACAGATTTAATTTTTGATATACAAATAAAATAATCATTGATGGCGTTTTATTATTAAAGAGGGGGGGGCCAATCATTATAATTTAGGGATTTTCTTGACAATCACTGATCTTCTTTCAATTTATCTTATATACAAAATATAATGCGATTTGTTTTATTGTTTCTTACCTTTTGTTAATGTGGTAAAAAGAGTTTTGCCCTTCGATTTTAATGATAAACATTTTTAATGTCTAAAATTTATATTATTTTTTTTTTATTTCCGTATTAATTTTTTTCGCAGATATCTCGCCTCTATTCCAACTTTGCAACCCTTGTTAATTCTTGTCCTCTTTCTAATAGTAAATGCCAGTCCCATCGAAGTCGTTTGACGGTTGCAGATTGACGAAAGCATATCAGGACGAATGTTTGTTCCCTCGATTGCAGCGAGGAAAATAAAGCTGCAAGCGTCCAGGGAATATGAAAAGTTTGAAATAGGTGGGCCGTAGGATATTTTGCCCCGTGTAAGTGGGCCGCGACCGAGAAACGTGCAGAAACATCGCGCTATAGAGAACGGCAAGTATCGCAGTATTCGTCGGCTTTCGACCTTCGGCGGTTATTAGCGCGAATTTAAATGTCCTTCTTGGAAAGCGAAGTGGAAAAATCTCTCGTTATCTTTGAAAGCCGTTTCGCCGGCGTAAGAGCCTCGGAAGGTTGGCTCGCCAAGTAGGAGAACGTAGGAAACGCCGCGGTGCTTCGAGGTATAAAGTGAAATTGAAAGGAGACCAGAGGAATTTACGTCTTCTCTTTCTGACCCATCTGCTTTCGTCTCTCTCCGTCTATGGTACGCGGCTGCTGGATGAAAGGTTCGCGCCATGCCCCGGGCTCTACCCGCGTTATTTAACCAGTGATAGAATCGTACGTACGGCCAGCCAAACTACGTTCTCGCGGTTCCTTATCCTCTACCGCGTTTTGTCGCCATCAACCACTCCAGAAACGGTCCACAAACGCGTGAAAATTAT